GGAGTATTACTCTGCATTAAAAAATGACAAAATCATAGAATTTACAGGGAAATGGATGGCATTAGAGCAGATTATGCTAAGTGAAGCTAGCCAATCCCTAAAAAACAAATGCCAAATGTCTTCTTTGATATAAGGAAAGTAACTAAGAACAGAGTAGGGACGAAGAACAGGAGAAGAAGATTAACATTTAACAGGGATGAGAGGTGGGAGGGAAAGGGAGAGAGAAGGTAAATTGCACGGTAATGGAAGGAGACCCTCAGGGTTATACAGTGGAGGGGGTAGAGAGAGAGGAGGGGAGGGGAGGGGAGAGGTGGGGAGGGGGGAGGGTGGAGGATGGGAAAGGCAGCGGAGCACAACAGACACTAGTATGGCAATTTGTAAATCAATGGATGTGTAACTGATGTGAATCTGCAATCTGTGTATGGGGTGAAGGTGGGAGTTCATAACCCACTAGAATCAAAGTGTGGAATATGATATGTCAAGAAATTTGTAATGTTTTGAACAACCCACAATAAAAAATTAAAAAAAAAAAAAAAAATTCAAAGAGAATACACACTCTACGTGTCTATGATTCTTTTTATAGAAAATGCAAACTAACCATAATGACTGAAAGTTACTCAATAGTTGCCTACAGCAAAGGAGGTAGAGTGGGAAGGATCAAAAAAGCAGGAAGAAAATTTGGGAATTGTGGTGGTGGTTTCACAGATCTAAAAAACATCAATATGTTTTAAAATACACAGTCTATTTTATGTCAACTACACCTCTGTATCATTATTTTTTAATGAAGGAATAGATAATGGAATTGGCAAATTCACATTTTCTGTCCCAATGTGCTATGATTTCATCTTCCTCCTCTAATTTAGCTATTTTCAGATTTGAAATAATCAAACTCCATGGATCCCTTTCTCAAAAATTGGGTATCTAAGGAGCCAGGTTTATAATTTTCTTCACTGAGTGCTGCATGCATAAGAATCTCTTTTTGTTGTTGTTGTTGTTGTTTTTAGATATACATGACAGCAGAGTGCATTTTGACATATATACATGGAGTATAACTTATTCTAATTAGGATCCTATTCATGTTATTGTACAAGATGTGGAGCTTCTCTGGTGGTGTATTCATCTATAAACATAGGAAAGTTATGTCTGATTCACTCTACTGCCTTTCCTAATCCCATCCTCTCTTCCTTCCTTTCCTTCCCCTTTGTCTAATCCAATGATCTTCTATTCTTCCCTCCCCAATCCTAAATCAGCATCCACATACCAGAGAGAACATTTGACCTTTGGTTTTGGGGATTGGCTTATCATGAGTATCTGTAATACCCTGACACTTGGCTTATAGCTAGTATTCTTTGGAAGTTGATCCTAGTATTCTTTGGAAGTTGAGCCTAGGTATATAAATTACACACAATTTACCCATGGATCAGTGATACAGGCCTGCCTCTTTTCTCTTTTGGGGTGCATTTTAAGATATTAACACCCGAGTTTCTGGCTGGGCCACTATCCAATATGCTCCCTGTAGCTCCATAGTTATAGTGAAGCTGCTATGGGAGTGCCGTGCATGTTTCACCTGCTGGGATCATCTGGTGTCACTGTCTAGTACCATCACAAAGCGGGTTCTCACTGCTAGCCCTGTGAGTATGTTTCCTGATTCCCTGGGTCTCTTCACCTGCTGTTTTTACCTAACACCTTCCTGTCCACCCTTCATTCTTTACCTTCACTCCCAGGTACATATTACTTCTCACTACACAGATGAGAGTTCTTTTTCATCCTGCAATGTCTGCAGTTCTGGCTATTTGCTGCCACTGTGGCTCATATTGGTTTGGCTGACACGAATAGTAGTGAACTCCTGGATCAGTGTGTGCTGATTTTGTTTAGGGTGATCTCTGGCACTCGGAATGGAAAAAAATTGATTGGAGGGAGACTTGTGTTCTGAGCTGTTGCTCCATTTCTTCTAGAATATTTCAATCCAAATATACTTTGCAAAGCAAAAACTCATTTTCTTTTAAAGATTCCCTATTTTGGGTGAGATTCCTATTCCTTCAAGGAACACGACTTTGACCACACTTATTAACACACAAAGAAGGCAGACAAAGTGTAATTCTTACCCTAGTAATCAGCCCAAAAGGGAGTGGCAGCCCAGATCACTGGTGGTTGTAGACACTCACCCACATGGCAGCCAGGCTATGAGACCTGTATAACAGTCTCTGATTTTTTTTTAAATTTTGATTCCAATAGCTATGACTATAATCCCATGTTTTCCTAATGATTTTGAGAGAAAGAAGTGAAATGCCAAGGTGAGGAAATAAAAAGTAAGCTCTTAAAAAAAAAAAAGAAGAAGCAGTTACAGATTTTGAAGATGACTAGACACAAGTACGGATGAAGTTGAAGATGTATGTGCAAGAAAAGAGGAAAAAAAGGATGGTTAGAGCTGTTATTGCTGCCCCAACATCTACCATAGAGAAAGTCAAAGAGTCATATGAGATTTTCCATACGAAAAGTATTTGCAACCTCATTCATCGTCATCTAAAATTTTTCTTCCTTCTCCAGTGGGAGGATCTCCAGGGGCGCCTAGGAACTTCTCCATTGGTAGCAAGGGTGGCATGTGTTAGGTGGGTGGTGGCAACTTGGTGGCTACTTAGAACAAAGCAGCCCGTGCTGGACAAGAACATCAATCAGATGCCAGCGGAAACGCCTGTCAATCAGCCAGATCTCCTGACTAACGCCTGTCAATCAGCAGGACCCCCTGGCCAATCCTGAGGTTCAGCCAACTTCCCTGACCAACTCCAAGGGGGCAAGGGACCCTAAAAACACCTTTTCCTGTCCCAAGCCCTTCCCTTCCTGCTGTAAGCCTCATAAAAGTCCAGTCTGGTCGAGCTTCCACGCGGTTTCTCCTCAGACCCTTCCCTTGTCCCCTCTGTGGGTCTGATCGAGTTCTGCCCAGGAGTGATATCTCAATAAAGCCTGTTCAGTGGCCCTTTTAAATCTGCCTCCTTTGGTCGCTGCCTGCCTCGCCTGATCTGACAGCATGTTAATGCATAAAGCCCTCAGAAGTATAGTGTCTGAGCAGGTGGAACCTTGGGAAACAAGAGCAAGTGGGAGTCGGCATTGTCTTAGGGAAGGTGAGTGAGGCAGGGAGAAAGGTCACAGTTAGTGGCATACAGAGGGATGCCTACAACATATTACCTGAAATTCTTTAGCAGAGATACATAGTTAATCATGTTAAGGGCATGATTCACACAGAAAAATTAGATAAAGATTGGAGGTTGAAACTGAGAAAGAACATAAAAAATAAGGTAAAGTTGGAAAATGTGAGCTATTAGAAATTCCTGGTGCCCTTAACAATACACTGTAAATATTTTTAAGGTTTATTTTCCATTAGCTAGCACTTGGAGAGCCATAGCAGTATCTTCCTCCTCACAGTAGAAATAAATCAACACAGCATAGCAATTTAAAAACACAGGTTTCAGAGTAAATACAGAAAGGAGTGGTTTTCAGCAATAGTTAAAAGTCTGAACATGAGTGCACTAGAAAACTTTTTTCTCCACAAGAAAAAAAAAATAGTCTTCTTGTATAGTGTTTGCTCATTTCCTTGGTATAAATACCCTCACCATGGCTGATTTCAAACTTCCAATATTTTAAAATTCAGCTTTCAAATTTTGTGAAAATTTAACAACTGTCTCTCATTAGCTGAAGTGATCCCACCCTCACACTGTACTGTCTCTGTTCTCTCAAAAGAGGACCAACATCACCATATCATAGGCCTCTGAGCAGTAGAAAATTATAGCATTATGTCCACCAGATAGATATTCACCAAAAATATTTTCTAATATTTATTAGCTTTTCTGAAAGCAACACCAGAATTTTCTCCTTTCAAAAAAAAAAAAAAAAGATGCTGTTGTGCAATGCTAAATTTTCTGACATCATTTTCCAAATGAGGAAATCTTAGTAGCATTGACCTTTGCCCACCCAAGGTTTATCATTGCCCAATCAGCTAATTCCTTTACTCAATGTTTTGCTTGTAAGTTGGGGATTGCTTAAACTAGTGGCTGCCCCAGGATATGTCCTTCCTTATTACCTGATTATATGCACACAGTCTGCCACCTTAATCCTTCCCCTAAAGGCCTTTTAAGCAGGAGTCAAGCTAGCAATTCCTTTATTTTTTATTTGTGGTTAGAAAATAGAAGGTTTTTATTCTCTGAGAACATTTAGACACCAATTTCCAGGGGTATCACTTAATGTGCCTTTTGAAAGAGCTGTGGGACTTTGATTGTTTCCAGATGAACTTTCAAATGGCTCCTGTGGTCAAGTTCAATTCTTATTCTCAGAGAGCAAAGAATGCTTGAAATGTTTACAGAAAGCTTGTACAGGTTAGCCTATCCCCAAAGAGGAGGCTTTAATGATAACTCCAATGTAAAATCCTTGAAGAAGGGTCATTCCTTTTTCTACTTGGTGTCACCATGGCACAGCCTACATCTTGATCTTTCAATCTTCTCATTAAATCTTGGTCTAACTGAATCAATATAAATAGAGCTAATTTTAAAACAATTCTGTTTTTTCCCCCCAAAATAATTCAGAATATTTAGTTTTCCTGGAAAAAAACAAACATATTCTTTATGACCCTGGCTAACAGGAATGCCAGTACTCAATCAAATAAAATATTGTCAGTATCATATTCTTATATCTCTTATATCTCATGATATATCTATACTGATATATCTGTAGCATCAGTATAGAAAAGGAAAATAAAGGGAGTAAAAGTTAGAAAAAGGAGAAAGTATTCTGAGAGGTAGGATTGGTGGTCAGATTGCTCACTTTTCTAAATCAAGGGTTTTTTTTTTATAAAGTGGGGGCTTATGTTACCTAATTCAGAGGAGGCTGTGATGAAGATGAATCAGGATAATGTCTATAAAATGATAATGTGGTACTTTTCTCACACCTTAAGATGTGAATAACTGTTATCTGTATAATTACTATTATTGTTGTTGCTGTTATGTTTATAGAAAGTGCAGTTACCAGTCCAGGCAGATCTGTTGTGTGGCTGTCATCACCATAGAGAGACATTAGAAGATTAGTGTTGAAAAGAAAGAACATGAGAAAAGCATGTACTCCTAATTGAATTGAGGTATGTCAAAGTCATCTTCTTTCATTGGGAAATTTTTCGTACTAGTTCACAACTTTCACCACCAGTAAGCAAGTCTTTGAGAAAGCAATAACCTGAGGTATGATTCTTTTGCTCTCTACTAAATCAAGGAATGGAATGCCCACCAAAGATGGTATGTGATTTTTTTAAGGACTTGTTTTTAAATTAATGAATGTCATGAAGAGAATGCACCACCTTGAGTGAGGGGTCCTGTACTAGTACTCCCATTACTTGTGCAACTGTGTGGCAGAATTTGAGAAATGAAACCTGAATGCTGCGATTGCCTTGCTGTGGACAAGATCACATCCTGTGAGTGGCTGTGGGGATGCCTTCTGGAGGATAGAGGGTTTCCCTCTGCAAATTTCCATTCCATCTATATGACCCTATCTTCAAAAAAGGACTATTTCCTTTTCTCAGAAATGAGGTGAGATTGGAGTCCTCAATTCTGGCTAAAGAAGAGCAAAGTAAGTCTTCCTATTTGCAGAAGTTAGGATGTAGGGAGTTAAGGAATGAGAGAGCCTTTGGGAAAACCCTATGGAAAACTGTAGATGGGGCTTCTAGGAAATATCCTGTCTCGAAGCTAGTAGTAAATTTTCTCTTTTTTGCATTGCAGTTGCCTTCTCTTATTCCCAGTATTTCTTTAATCCTTGTTAGTCATTGCTGCATAGTTTTAGTTGGTACTTAGAGGAACTACCATGTCCATATGGGAGAGTTCATTGTCCATGCTTAGGGAGGAAACAAGTTATTAGATGGCAAAAGATGAAAATAGAAAATATAAAAGAAGTTTCAGATTAGAGAAAGCAAGCTGGCTGAAGGGTTCAGAGGTGACCCAGTCGTTTAATAGAACATAAAAGCATTCATTCCTAAGGGAGTTTTCAAAAGTTCCCTCAGCATGGTGGGAGAGTAAAGAAGAATTTGGTCAAACCAATTTTCCATACCATACAGAATGGGGCTCCAGATCACTGTTGTGTTGTCTGTGTTTATTATTATCATCGTTTGAACTGAAAGAAAAAGTTACCCAGAAAGCTGGAGAACTAGTTGACATTGTAGTTAAATTAGTTTTCTAGTGCTGCCATAACAAATACCACAGTGTGTTTGGCTTAAACAACATACATTTATTTTCTCACAGTTCTGGAGGATGGAAGTCCAATCAAGGTGTAGGCAGTTTTGGCTTCTTGTGGGGCCTCTTTTTGGCTTGTAGATAGTTGCCTTCTTCTTCTTTTTTAATATTCATTTTTTTTTAGTTGTAGTTAGACACAATACCTCTATTTATCTATCTATCTATCTACCTATTTATTTATTTATTTTTATGTGGTGCTGAGGATCGAACCCAGGGCCTCTCCTGTGCTAGGCAAGCGCTCTACCACTGAGCCACAACCCCAGCCCCAGATAGTTGCCTTCCTTCCATGTCCTCAGATGGCCTTTCCTTTGTGTAAGTGCATTTCTGGTACCTCTTCCGTTCTTTTACAAACAATTCTCACAAAAGATAAAAGAAGGAAGAAAAGAAGGAAGGAAGGGAGGGAGGGAAGGAGGAAGGGAGGAAAGGAAGGAAATTGCTGAGAAATAGACAAAAGGACACAAAATCTATAAAAGACCCCAACTCCAGAAAAGCCACACTGTTCTCCTGGGAGACAGACCACGCAATGCCTATCCTGTACGTTATCTTCATTTCTCACTTTTCCAATAAGCTCAATGCAATTCATTTGAAATTTTCCCTGTGAGATTGCAAGAACCAGTGACTGCAGATTCCCATGGTTACTTAGTCTCCCCGGGCCTCCTCTGCATCAACATCAATGTCAGGATAACAGCCTCTTTCTTTATTCTGATCCTTTCTCTTGTCCTCTGCAAAGCATGGCATCATTTTTAACTGATTGCCTTTTTGGAACCTCAGGCTATCTCTGGAGGCTAACTTATATATTCATGGAGAGACCTCCATTAGGGTTTCGTGGTATGGTATGATGGGGAGGACTGCAGGGCTAAAATCATGAAAGGAAGGAAGCCTCCAGTCTTTAGGCCCAGCACACAAGAGCATGGTTAAGAGAAGGCAAGTTGTGCTGCAGGCAAATCTGCTTTCTGCACTCAACTTCCCAACCACCTCTGGGCATCGGATACTTCATTCAAATGCACTTGAGGCAAAGCACTCAAACACTCACTGAGTATTTCCCTGGCAGATTTCCAGTACTTCATTCTTCTTGTTAATGGTGACAGAGAAAATTACACAAAGCATTCAGGATGTTGATATGCCACTTGCCTCACAGTTTACTTCAAAGCTTCTTCAGAGTTTTCTGAATTTTACTTTCTGGAACAAAGAATATTATTGGCATAAGCATCAAGTATGCCAGTGAAGTTAGTCCTAGTGTTTTTGGTAAGCGAGTTCTGAATTTTTAGGTCAGAAGCAATCTGTCTTTTAGCAATTAAAAGCCAATGGCCATGTAGTAACAAGTTTAGTCAAGTTTTGTTGGCACAGACTTATTTCTCCAACTTACAGATTCTCCAATAGAAACAGCAATAAAGTTTTTTTTTTATTTGTTCTAATTAGTTATATATGACAGTAGAATGCACTTTGACACATCATACATAAATGGATTGTAATTTCTCATTCTTCTGGTTGTACATGATGTAGAATCACACCAGTAGTGTAGTCATGTATGTACATAGAGTAATAAATGTCAGGTTCATTCTACTATCCCTCCTACCTTCTTACCCCTCCACTCCCTTCACTCCCTCTACCTAATTCAAAGTACCTCTATTCTTCCCAAGTGCTGCCCACCTGTCATGCTTGGCTAAATTGTGAATTAGTATCCACATGTCAGAGAAAACATTTGGCCTTTAGGTTTGGGGGATTGGCTTATTTTAGCATGATATTCTCCAGATCTGTCCATTTACTGCAAATACCATAATTTCATTCTTCTTTAAGTCTGAGTAGTATTCCATTGTGTATATATATCACAGTTTCTTTATCCATTCATCTGTTGAAGGGCACTTAGATTGGTTCCATAATTCAGCTATTGTGAGTGGAGCTGCTTTAAACATTGATGTGGCTGTGTCACAGTAGTGTGCTGATTTTAAGTCCTTGGGTATAAACCAAGGAGTGAGATAACTGGGTGTTAGGATGACCTTAGGCCTGAGCCTAAGCAACTCCATTTTAAAAACTCCAGTTTGAAACCTGCAGTTTCACCAGTTACCACCCACAGATCCCTCCAGTATAGCCACAAACAAGTGGCTTCCCCTCACCCTGATAAACAGAGTGAAGCCCTTGACAGGCTGACATCTCTTGATAAGAGGGAAAGGCGAGAAGATCAGGGTGGAGACCACCAGACCAGATGTTTCTGACCCCAGAGTAAATGATGTCACTGAGAAATCTGGTGGTAGCTGATAAGGATTGAAAGGGGGATCAAAACCCCCCAAATTTAGTATAAATGATAGAGCAAATGAACAGGGATTCAGCCAGCCAAAACATGGATGCACTCGAGCTGGAGAACCTGATAAAGACCTGATATCCCATCACTTGTCATCATTTCCTGAGCCCCTGCATGATCCTCACCATTCTCAAACTCTACCAACTCATCTGGACCTTGGTGAGAGACACAACTTCTCCCTATGACCCTCTCCTCAACCGGTCATCCACTCCACACCAGGAAAAGCCTGCCTTGGTTCCAGACCTGGTCACTGCAGTCTGAGTGAGAGTGCATCTTCTGGACTTAAAGCCTAAGGCTTAAGACTTTTGAACTTAACATGCAGAGGAAATGTCTGTCATTAGCTTATCATGATTAAGTGTGTTTTGCAGGGCTAAGAATTAATCTAGAATTGTTTGCTGTGAATTAATTATGTCTATTGCAGTGCTTGGCATTAAGGATTGTCGTTTTCATGATTAAGAACCTATAGAGTGAAATTGTATTGAGTAATTTGAGTGAATAAAGCATTGAAAGGGGCAGAAGTGCGTGGACATTCTTTATTTCTCCCCTCGACTGCATACGTCACAATTTTGCCCCCTCGTGACACTGGGTCAAATGGTGGTTTCATTCCAAGTTTTCTGAGGAATCTCCATACTGCTTTCCATATTGGTTGCCTTAATTTTCAGTCCCACCATCAATGTATGAGTGTACCTTTTTCCCCACTTCATCACCAACATTTATTGTTGTTTGTATTTTTGAAAATTGCCATTCTAACTAGAGTGAGGCAAGATACACTGCGCGTAATAGAAGAAAAGGTAGGCCCAAATCTTATCATGTCAGCCTAGGACCTGACTTCCTTAACAAGTCTCCTAAAGGGCAAGAACTAAAATCAAGAATCAATAAATGAGATGGATTCAAACTTAAAAGCCTCTCTGCAGCAAAGTTGAAAAATCAATCACATGAAGAGAGAGCCTACAGAATGGGAGAAGGTCTTTACCATACACACCTCAGATGTAGCACTAATCTCCAGGATATAGAAAGAACTCAAAAAACTTAACACACACACACACACACACAATAAAAATAAAAAAATAAACCAATCAATAAATGGACTAATGAATTGAACAGACACTTCACAGAAGATACACAATCAATAAATATATGAGAAAATGTTCAACATTTATAGCAATTAGAGAAATGCAAATCAAAACTACTCTAAGGGGCCTGGGGTTGTGGCTCAGCAGTAGAATTGCTCACCTAGCACGTGTGAGGCACTGGGTTTGGTTCTCAGCACCACATAAAAATAAAATAAAAAAAAATAAATAAGTAAAGGTATTATGTTCAACTACAACTAAAAAAAGTATTAAAAAAAAACTACACTAAGATTTCATCTCCTGTCAAAATGGCAATTATCAAGAATACAAGTAACAAAGATTTAAAATGAACATTTTTTTTTACTGCGTTCTCTCCTTGAGCTCTTTTTATTACACTGCAATGTTATCTGGTGTCACCTTGGGTGCTCCTTTAGCTTCTTTGGTTGAAGATGACATCTGGAGAGACCTACTGGGTTCATCAACTCATAAAACTAGGAAGGACCATGAGAAATTGTTCAGTGCAAACTGCCAGGAAGGCTCCACAGCAGCACCATCTTCAAGGTCACACTGTCTATATGTATAGATGTATTTAGATATGAGAAAAATTGCCCTGTGTCAAAGTCACTGTGTCCAAATTAATGTAAATCTTGCCAAAATCCATTTCCCATCTCCAGCCTCAAAAAAAAAAAAAATATATGGCCCTAGGATTCCAAAATTTTCCAAGAAAATATACAAACTGAACTCTCAACAGTGACCCAGGGTTACCCTTAAAATATGTATCTCTAGTATTTGTCATGGCCACAACTAGATGAGCACTTAGCCTATGGCTGATTCAAAATGTCTTGTTTAATGGATGACTCATATGGTCAGTCCTTTGAAACCTGAAGATGAGTTCTGGTCATAAATGTGAATTACCAGGGAAACCCTCAGCAATTTTTTTGAGGCCCAGTTGTTTCTCTTGTAATATGTGAAAATTTTGGCTGGTTCCATGCTTTAAGTTGTTTGCTTATCATTTTTGCTGTGGCTCTGCATGAATGATCGAAGCATAATTTGCTCTTTGTCCCTTTCTGTGGTCTCACTTTCTGCTTTTTTTCATCCCATCTTCAGCAAAGGCCCGCGTTCTAAAGAATGCCATCCAGCCAACAGTGTCCTGTGCCTCCCATCTGGCCACTTAGCAGTAGCATCAGTCAGTCCTGGCTCTGGACTCCTGGCTTGTTCTGTTGGACCAAATAGTAATTGAGGCTGTGCTCAGTGACCTGCTGTTTGTAAACAAGGAAGCCAAAGCACATGGTTACTTAGAGGCAAGCAGTGGGTGAGGGACTTGGTCTTATAAGGTTAGCATCAAAACCTTACAAGTCAGTTCTTTGCATGTCAAACAAAATTACAGATCCAGGTAAGTGAGCTGTGCACCCCAAAAGCCTGAAGGTATTTCTTCTGTCCATCTCACTCATCAGCCAGTTCCTGGGGCAGCTAAATGGCACTGGGATAGCTTTGTATACTCATTCGACAGAGAAAAAGGAAACAGGTGACAAATTGTCTCACTGACCTTCTCAAATTCCTTCAGTGTTTCCCTACAAAAGTTCAGTCTCCTTGGCCAGATATTAGAGCTGCTCCTTAACCTGTCCTAGACATGTCTGCTTTCTTTCTTGAAACCCCTCATTACCCTGTTCATTCTTGCTGCCATTTTCTTGTCCCCTTTCATCCACCCCTTCCCTTGGCCAGGGTGTCCTTCCCACACTCTTCTTCACCCAATTCTAGTTGAAACTCTAAGACTCAAATTATTTTTTAAAATTAATGAATTAATTAATTTTAATTAGGTATATATGACAGCAGAATGCATTTTGATTCATGGTACACAATTGCAACACAACTTTTCATTTCTCTGGTTGTACATAATGTAACATCATACCATATGTGCAGTCATTCATTCATGTACCCAAAGTAATGATGTCCATCTCATTCCTCGGTCTTTTCTGCCCCCATGTCCCCTCCCCACTTTTCCTCCCCTTTGCCTAAGCTGTGTTCAAGAGATCCCCTGGATGCTGGGGATATAGCTCAGTTGGTAGAGTCCTTCTCTCACATGCACAAGGCCCTGGGTTCAATCCCCAGAACCACCACAAAAAGAAAGAAAGAAAGAAAGAAAGAAAAAGTGATCTCCTTTACCCCTCACTCTGAAGCCATCCTGGATACTGAGTCAGTATCCAGGTTTATCCTTTTTCTAGAGGCTCCCAGGCTTTTTAAAATCTGCACACCTTGTACTTTCTCACATCTGCCCCTTTTCCCTTGCTGCTTTCTTGCCTGTAATTCCATTTTTCATTCCTGCCTACAGAATCCCAGGGATACATCAAGATTCTCCCTGAAATACCACTCCGCAATTAACATTCACTAATGCTCTGTATTCAATTGCTGCTGTAACAAACCACCACAATGTAGTGATTTAAAAATGAAAAGAAAATTTTATTGTCTTACAGTTAAGGAAGTAAAAACAGCAACAACAAAATGGCTTTCAGTGGGCTAAAATCAAAGGATCAGCAGGTCTATGCTACTTGGGAAAGCTCTAGAGGAGAATGCATTTCCTTGCTTTTTTCATCTACTTCAGTGCATCTGCACCGAATTGCCTTAAGGCCCTTTTTCTTATCTTCAAAAGCATCAGGGCAGCATCTTTAAATTCTACTCTGCTTCTATCATTAATTGTCTTCTCCTCTGTCCTCCCTGCCTCCCTTTTAAAAGGGGTCTTATGATTACATTGGACTCACCTAGATATTCCAAGAAATTTCCCCACTGTAGATCCTTAATCACACTTACCAATCTTTTTACTATTAAAATTCACATATTCACAGTTCCAGGGGTTAGAGCATGTACACTTTAGGGGGAATCATTATTCTGTTCACTACATTGCCTAATGAAGAATTGATCTGTTTAATTTCTATTTAGTTGTAACACTGTGTTTAGGTATCTATAATTCAGGGTCTTAAGCCTGTCAGTTTCCTTACAAGATAAGTTCTTTGAGGACAGAGACTGTGTCTTACTTATCTTTATATTCCTACAATATTAAGCTTAATGCCTCGAACATAGCATGTCTCCTATGCTTGTTGAACTACTAACAGTAATTTTCTGTGCTGCTTCTAACATCTTCAAAGATGATTCTAGGAGGTAAAATGTCTTTAGAGAAGACATGTAAATAGGATGGCAGAGAAAAAAAAATGGTTCTGTATAACTAACCAACTTGGTTGGCCCTAGTGATGGGCTCACAGCATTCAGTTTAGACACAAGCTTTGTTCACCACTCTGCCTGTCTTGCAGCATCTAGCAATATCCCGGGCACAAAGAAATTCCGTGTTTGTTGGATGAGGGGGAATGAATGAATGAATGAATGTTCTTTACAGATTCCATGTGTCTATACGTATGTTCACGTGTGTGCACTCATATGTATGTGTGTATCTCAAGTATTGGACATTTGAAAGCTATATACACTACAATGTTTAATAAGGGTCAACATGAAGAAAAATAAGAGCACTGTTTAAACTTTGGGTTTGCTGAAATAGACCACATCCTCCTCCATTCTGGCCTCCTTCCACCTTAGAAATACCAAGTTTCCTGAGATGTCAGGTTTGGAATTTCACCAGTAATGTGAAATGGATCCAGAGGTTCTGAGTAAAAGTCAATAGAGCCCACTGCTGAGCCAGGTCATGGAAATATTTGCCCTTTTTGCAGCTTACTAACTTGAGTTCATGTGGCCATGTGAACTGTGTGGGGTAAGGATGAAGCTCCATATGTCATGAGATACCATGATGCCACATCATACCATCTCAGTGGCTTAGCACAATGGACCTATACGTAGGAAGCCTGAGAAAATGTTCCTGGTCTCTGGCATTTACTGTTGGTGGTTTTATAAATTAGTGCAGCCTCTCTGGGGGATAGTTTGGCAAAAAGTTTGAAAACCTTAACTTCACCCATACTTTTTCCTTACGATTTCATTTTTAAGACACCTTACTTTCCTTCCCCATTGCAATACCCACACATGGGAACAAAGAATATTTATTCAAACATGTTCATTGCAGAATTATCTGTAATAATGAATGAGTGTAGATAATTTAAAAGTTCACCAATATGGTACTCATTAATTAAATTCTAATATTTTTTTTAAAAAAACAGAATACTTAAGCAGACATGCAAAAGAAGAGAGAGAGATGCATAAACTGGCATGAAAAATGTTCACAATATGTTGCTAAGAAAAAAAGCACTAAGTTGCATTTAATATGCTTAAGACAATTTTACTTTTGAAAATAAAATCATGATGTATGTATAAATTCTGTATGCAAGCAAAAAGATCTTCAAGATAAAGAGGTTTTCCCTTGGCTATATGATTTTGGGACATTTTTACCTCCTTTGAACATTTGAACTTGTGTTTTCAGTTATATTTTGCCTTTAGAGTTGAAAAAAGAAAGA